CCAAAACCCTTTCTGGGCTTCGACTCGCATGGAACTGACTCGGTCCGAGTCAAATACTGACTCGGTCCGAGTCAGAAGGTTGAAAACGTCCCGACACTCTGATTTGATCCGAAAACCGTTTTTCCGACCAAATCCAAGTCATCCTTTCTGAAACTTCACATATAAGTCCATCCCTAATGGTGTGTGACCCTGTAGGCCCATTCGCAGTGGCAGCGGCCTCGAGAACCATTCCCGATCTACAAGTCATGGTTAGCCTCTAGCAAGACGCCATGACCACCCATTTAGAATTGAGTTAGAGGTGATCTAACCAAGGCAATAACAGCTCGAGTTCTGATCCTTTATCTCACGATATCATGTGTTGAACAAGGGCATGGTTTGAGCCACCCTTCAAGTTCAACTGCTTTCTCGTCTTGGCAAATCGACTAATAAAATAGATGCAACTTCATCTATAGCGTGGCCACGCATTTTCATAGTCCGACTTCCACGAGAAGGCCCAGCGATATCTCTCCTATTAAGGAGGTGATAAGTCCCATGTTGCATGTCTATTATCTCCATATGATTCGTGAACGTATCTGATCAATGCCGTTATAATCATCCGGTTAAAGATGACGTTTGACGTAGTCAAGACATGCTACTCCTCATATCAGATACTCTAGACATCTCAGGTATGAGGATCCAAGAACGAACCGCTGTATGAGATTCAAGTCATGACTCTGTCCATGTGACAATCTCATGCGGGTCAACCAGTCACTCGTTCACAACGAGTACCCATGATTGTGATATGCATCCAATGCATCAATCACACCTCATGCTAGTCTTAATTCATCATTGTTCCCACAATGATAACTGACTAGGGAGTTTAGAATCATTCTATAATGATTCAAGGATACCGAAATATAACAAACATGCCAATCATATAACGGAATGTAACGCATTCATAAATCAATGAATCAATACAATGTCAAAATGTCATATCACGGAACATCCTAGAGCATTACAACCAACAACCGTCACTCGCCCAGAGCTCTCCTATTCGGTTCACGTTCTTTCTCAGTTTATGCAGAATCCTCGGCAAGATCATTGGGACGCTGCACTTCATGTTGTTCGCTACCTCAAGCGTGATCCAGGCCAAGGTGTTCTGTTTCGCGCCGAATGCGATCTGCGATTACGTGGATGGTGCGATGCCGACTATGCTGGTTGTCCACTCACTCGTCGATCTCTGAGTGGGTGGTTCGTTCAACTTGGCACATCTCCGATTTCTTGGAAGACAAAGAAGCAATCCATACCATCCTTATCCTCGGCAGAGTCCGAGTATCGTGCTATGCGGCTAGCTACGTGCGAGCTAATTTGGATCAAGAGTCTCCTTTCCTATTTTGGTGTCACACATTCGGACCCGATGCTTTTGTTGTGTGACAGCCAAGCAGCTCTCCACATTGCTTCCAATGACGTGTATCATGAACGCACGAAACATATTGAAGTCGACTGCCATTTTATTCGACACCACCTTGATCGGAGGAACATAATTACACGCCACGTCTCCACTCGTGAGCAACTCGCAGACATTTTTACTAAGGCTTTGGGCAAGAAAGAGTTTTCGTGGTTTATCGGCAAGTTGGGAGTACTAAGCTTGCACTCACCAACTTGAGGGGGGTATTGGGCGAGAATATTCCGTGTATATCATGTATAATACGAGATATGGGTTGTTACCTTGTTGATAGGATCTGATAGAATTTCATCCCTTGTACAGCTAGGTTTAGTTACGTCTCTTTGTGCATATAAGCCTTGGTGGCCATGAATAACACACAAGCATTCACAGTACCGATTTTCTGTTCTTTGTTCTTGTTGCGATTGCCGTCGTGACACAAACCGCTCTGTGTCTAGACGAGTTCTAGGGTGACACGTGGTGTGCGCTGTGCACAGTGTGTCTTTGGTCTGGTAGAATTTCTTGTGATACTGAAGTTTCATTCAGGGGGAGTGAAATTGGTGAGGGTTGAGTACTACTTGGAAAATACTGAAGTGTATTTGACTCGTATCAAAGAAATAGAATTAGTTTTGGTATTTCTGGTTTATTGTATCGTGTGTGAAGTACTTTCATAATTGATTATTCTTTGTGAATGCCAATATATATATATATCAGGACATATGCATCAATATATACATACAAAAATACCGTAGAATTCACAATTTGAAGGAACAGGAGAAACCGAAAGTGGCCAAGAAGACGGCGTCAGAAACAGGGTATAAGTAGGAGATCTCATGTAAGATTCGAAAGAAAAGTCAAAGCAAAGTCAAAGTCTTGCTCCACGCTCGTGTTCAGTTGACAGACAACCTGAACCGAACTAAAGGAAGCCCTATAAACTTCAACACTTCATATTTCTCTAAAAGATCGCCCAAGATATTAAAATTGGTAATTATTTGTTGATCTCATTGAACAATTCTTTTTGGTTAATGAACCCTATTATATATATATATATATATATATATATATATATATATATATATATGTATATATGTATATATGACTTTATATCATATGTTATCCCTTAAACGAACTTCTTCATTGTATATCATTTTTTGGACAAAATTCTGACCAGTTCCAAATTATCGAAGATGTTACATACCTATTTTATTTCGTTAAGAAAAACTCGACTAAGGCAATCCATTACAATAACGATTTGATTTTTAATTTTAATTACTAGTATAGAAATCCATCGGATGAAACAACATCCGTAGATGACGTAATCGAATGATCACTGATTAACACAAAAAGTTCGAGGGAATATATTTTCGACGACCGTAAAATCCTGGAAGATGAAAAAAGAAATGCTCACTGGTTTATATTATATATTATTTTATTTGGTGGCTCTTATAATTTACGTCGTTATCAAACGTACTTTTTTGCATGATTTACGTGCAACTTCATTCATAGTCGTACATACAGATACTCTGAAAATTTGTGAGAGTCACATATCACATGCAATGAATCTTGTAACGTTTGAACTGTTTTTTATTAAATAAAAATAAATAAATAAATCGATGGGATTGTGAAACTACAATTTTTTAATTATTTTTTTGCTTTTGATTCATCGGTTAACAATTAAAGATGCAAAAATCACATGCGTTGCCTTTTGGAATTTGAGTTGACACCGTACGGAAGATGCATTTCATTCTGCGATCATTGATTTCCGTCCAATGTATTAGGACTTTTATGTACCGTTGTTGTCTAATAAAATTAGCGGTCGATATCTTCTAATAAGTTGAAATGTTGTAAATATAAGTTGGTCATCATGGTAAAGAAATACAAAAGCAATCTTTTTTTAGTACATTCTATAATAATTTTTATGATCTTTACCTTTCATGATTATTGTAGAAAAAAATATATGTTAAAGAAACATCATTTTCAATAATCAAAATGAAAATATATATTCTAGAATATGAAAAAAAAAACAGAATCGAGAAAAGAGAAGAAGAGAATCGCATCTACGGAGACTCCACCTCAAAATTTCTATAAAAGATCTTTATACGCACCATGTTAGTGAGACAATATTCCGAACAACAGTTGACGATTTCTCTATAGAGTTCATAAAGTTCTTTCGTATTGATTCCAATTATATGAGATTTAAAATATATATATATATATATATATATATTATATTTTAATAATACCAATATAAAAGATTGAATGATATATACGCAGAGTCATGAAGATATTTTTAGTCGGACAAAAAAGTTGTTGGAGTAATTAAAGATGAGTGATGTGTGATTAATCGCTTGTTGTCTCCATTAAGACTAATCTCTTAATTAGATTCGTTGCACTTAATCTCTTCTGTCTGTTCTGCACTTTGAGTCCTTTTTGTCTTTTTGTCTGCCTCTATGTTAGGCCATAAAATCAGCTCTTAAGTTCCTTGCGTGTTAGTTTTATATTTCTTTTATTTTATTTATTTTTTGTTCACTAGTAAATTCACCGAACTCTCATCTTGACTACGTTCTACACGGCTCGGAGTAACTTTTGTACCGTAATTAAATTGCGTACTTCCTCTCTAATCCGTGATTCGAAACATGGGATTTGGGACAGGGTCAACCGCCTCTTATCAACCAGTTACACTACTCGGCTACGGTGTCTTGTATTCTTTTATTTTATTTCATAGTATATGACCATTTTTTTAAAATTATGTTTTTTAATTATAGAAACCTTGTAAATATGCACTATGCAGATCATCGGAAGGAAGGGAAAAAAATCTCCCTTTGTCAAAATAAAAAAGAAAAAATATATCGTCATCTCTCCTCGGTGCGACCGACGTGGTAACTTTACGTTTTCATTTCGCGTCTATCCCACGCGCCGATGTGACACATTGGCGTTCACCTTTCAAACATAAGATTCGGCTATTTGCATCATTATTGTCACTGTACTCTGAGATTTATCTAAAAATATTCCAAAATGTTTCAAAGTAACCATTTGGACCCTATTTTCTCCAAAGACTTATAAATGATTTTTTTTTTTACATTAGGAGCTTGTATTCTTTGGGAATCCGAGAATAGAACCCATAAAAGCCAAATCCATGCAAGTCATTGAAGTCACTTTAATACATGTGGGTTTAGGATTTTAAGTTTGAGAAATTAATATACGATGTTCTACACAATCGAATTAATTCAGGACCGAAAGAGAGTTTATTCTTACATTAAAACATAATTCCCAATAAAACACGTTTCTCCGAATCTGTAAAGACAATTGTATATTCTGTTTTTTGTTTTAGAAAATGATGCATATATAGACTGGTAATACATATGACATCGATGATGTGGCATCATATTATAATTCACATACATTTGCTTGTATCTTTTAAATATTGCACTATCCTCACTAATCTATTTTTGCCAGGTCCATATAAGTTCATTACTCATTAGAGAGTGTACGTCTATTTATTTTCTATATTCGACCCTAATGTTTACGTACGCTCTCAATAATTCAACCTAGGCATAATTTATGTAATTTATGTACAATAATTCAACCTAGGCATAATTTATGTACATTATCGGTCAATAAGAATAACATACGTATAAAAAAGAAAGAGTATACATAAAAATAAAATTTAAAAGTTGGTTATGATGACGAATTAAATTAAACCCTGTTTAACATGACGACAAAAAGATGGCGTATGGTACACAAAAGAGAATCTTATTGGGCTTAGATCCTCATTATTGGGCTTGAACCCTAATACTCAGACTTTGCTCTTCAAAGCCCATAGTTTATTTATATACGGCATCGTTTTAGTTCTTCGGCCCACTTCGTGTTAATAAAATCGAAGTGTTCTTTTTTTTTTAATTATTATTTTTTATATTCCACAAGCGATGAGCAGCAAGAGAGAAAATTTTTTTTTAATTATTATTTTTTATATTCCACAAGCGATGAGCAGCAAGAGAGAAAACCCCTCCCCACCCCGCCACGTTCCGGGGCGAATCTCGAAACGACGGCGGCCGTGGGGGAAGGGAGATGACGAGATCACCGACAAGCCGATAGCGAAGCCTCCATCTCCGCCGGGGCTTGTGATCACGGGGCTTCCCGACCACTGCTCTGTCCTTGAACTGAAATCCCGGTTCGAGATCTACGGCTCTATCTCCCGAATTCGCGTCGACCGCGATGGATCCGGTTCTGTTTCCTTCCGCACCGCTGAATCCGCCGAGGCCGCCATTGCCGCCAGTCTCGAACCCTCCGGCATCTCCATCGATTCCAAAAGGGTACTCTCTCTCTCTCTTGCTCGCCCGTGTAAGCCTGGTAAAGCCTGTTTGGAAGCTGAGAATAGAAGGAAAACGAAGGAAAATCTTGAACTGACCTTAATTAGGCCCGATTTGTTATGAACCCCTCGTATAGAATCTACCGATCAACCTGTTTTCTCGTCGGATTCCGTAAATTTGATGTGATTTGAAAAGTTTCTGAACTTAGAGTTGATGAGATTTGGGTGGTGGTACAGTTAGAGGTAATGTGGGCGACGGATCCGCTGGTGAAATGGCGGGAGGGAGTGACCGGAGGGAAGGAGAAGCGGAAAACGGCGCCGTCTTTGTCATCATCGTCAAAGCTTCTGCGCCCGGAGATGCCATTAAGGAGACATGGCAGAAACAACAAGCTGGCATCTGCCATTGTCGACCCCAAGAGCATCACCAACGACGTTGTCAGTGCTTCAGCTTCGGTGTCGGGAACAGAATTTACACGTCGAGAAGTTGTTGCCTACGACGATATCCTGTAGCGTAAAACCTGCTCTGGAACTTGTTTGATCTTTTTCTGCTTTGTTAATAGCCTGATGATTGTGCCGTGCTTGTAAGATTTCCCATTTTCTTTTCCCGGAAAAGTTTGGTTCTTTGAGAAAGAATTACGTCTGAAATCTGCAAAAAAAAAAAAAAAAAAAAAAAAACAGATTGCAGATTGATCTGATGTTTGTCAAGTAGTTTCAGGTTTGAACAAATGGTTAAAGTTGTAATTTTTCACGTCTCTCTTGTTGGGTTTTCCTGCCGCTCCATTTCTGTGCTGAGGTATCTTCACTTAAGGATTTTTTTTTTTATTTTTATGAATGATGAGATTAGCAAAATTCACAGTTGTAATAAACATTTCTAGGTCAATTTCCTAGACAGATGATGAATGTTTGGTCATAGGAGTGGACACCGGTTACCCGAGATTTTTAGGTATCCAAATCTAAATTCGATAGATTACGTATTTCCGAGTTTTTGAGTGTTCGCAGTATATTATCCGCGATACATTTTTCAGATAATCACAAATACATGAATTTGATGGGTTTTAACTATATTTTGATCACAAATTTATAAATTAATATATTACATACGAATCATTTATAAAATCATTAAAAAAATATTTATATCTAAGATAACTAGATTATAAAAAAGGAAATTTTTTGTATAGATAAAGACAATAACAACTAGATAATTGATATCTATTTTTACAATTTTCTAATAACTTAAATAACAATTATTTTTTACTAGGGAGAATCCCAAAAAAATCCATGTACTTTCTTCTCGTCGCAATTTAAACCATATACTTTTTTGTTTATTCAAAAGAACATTGTACTTTTACAAATTGACAAATAAAACTCTGTAATTTTAGAAATTGACAAATAAAACTATGTACTTTTAAATATTGGCAAATAAAACCCTGAACGAAAAAAATATTTAATGCTCACATAGCATCCTAGTCACATGCCACATCATCAACCCCTAATATTTAATAATATTAATTAATAAAAAAAATATTAATAAAAATAAAAATATAAAAATTATACACATTCGTATATACATATATCACACGTACATTTATATAATGAAATGATATATATATATATAAACATATATATGTATGTATTATATGTATAAAATCATATATGTGTGTATATATATATGTTTTATATGTATGTGTAATATATGATTTTTTCTAAAAATCATACATATATGTATAATGATTTTTAGGAAAAAATCATATATCACACATACATATAAAATATATAATTATACACACATATATATGTATGTATTATATGTATATATAAATATGTTTATATATATGTCATTTCATTATATATATATGTGTGTGATATATGTGTATATGAATGTGTATAATTTTTAATTTTTTATTTTTATTTTTTTATTTTTTTATTTTTTTATTTTTTTATTTTTTTATTAATTAATATTATTAAATATTAGGGGTTGATGATGTGACATGTGACTAAGATGTCATGTCGCTTTAAATATATATTTTTTTCGTTCAGAGTTTTATTTGCCAATTTTTAAAAATACAGAGTTTTATTCAATTTATAAAAGTACAAGATTTTATTTGTCAATTTATAAAAGTACAAGATTTTTTTGGATCAATAAAAAAGTACAAGATTTAAATTGCCACTAAAAAAAAGTATAGATTTTTTTTTAGAATTCTCCTTTTTTACTATTTAGATACCTATGAATAATTATACAATCCAAAAATCTAAATTTGAATCCGAACTCAAATTTTGAATTTTAAAACCCGATTTTTATCTTATTGCAAAATGGATACCCAATATTGGGATATAAACTCTAGAACCGGGACAAATTTCTGATTTTCGTATATTTTTGCCCACGCTGATTAGTCCTAAATTGCTTTCAAGTTTTGGACCTTGAGCATTAAAAACAAGACTCCTTTAACTGATTGGTAAAATATCTCCACGTGTCATATGTGTTTTACATGGAGGATGCACTTTTTATCCAAAGAATCCCATGCAGGGAGGGAAAAAAATCAAATGCAATTTCTTATTTAGATTTTGGAAAAATATCTGATGCTTTTGCTCTTTTATTTCTTGGTCAAAATGAGATTTTTTTTTTAAATGCTGGATAATTGAATGCAACAATCTCTGTGGAAAACACACATTCACAGTGATTTAATCACCTTTAATTAAATGCATGATCTTTTTTCAATAAGTTAAAAGATCGTGTCATCATATGGTGTTTAATGTTTATCAATATATATAATTTTTAGCCACTCATCATAGATAGAGATTATTCCAGTTCATAGGATTCAACGAACAAAAAAAACATGGATGAAGAAAACGGAACTCCTCCTAAGAGAAAGCCTGTCGGATGGAAAGCCATGCCTTACATCTTAGGTGCTTCTATTTATTACAAATTCACACGTTCGTAATAATACGTACATCTCCTATGCATGTAATTTATTATAAGGTTTTTTGGTTACGGGTAATGCAAAGGGAACGAGACGTTGGAGACACTGGCGACATTCGGGCTGGTATCGAACTTCATGGTGTACCTAGGAAGAGAGTATCACATGGACCAGGTTCAGGCCGCAACCCTAATCAACACTTGGACCGCTTGCACCAATTTATCTCCCGTCGTCGGAGCATTCATCTCCGACTCTTTGGTCGGCAAGTTTCCAACCATCGTCTTCGGTTGCTTGGCAGAATTATTGGTACGATCGACTTTTATTTTAAGGGTGCATATGTATATTAATAGGCAACTGATCAAGAGGTTGGATCTTTCCTAGGGCATGGTGATTTTGACATTGACGGCTCTGATCCCTGGACTGCGACCACCGCCATGCACCGCCGTTGATGAGTGCGTCGGCTACACCAATGGGCAGATGAGTATCCTGATATTAGGGCTTTCATGGTTAGTCATTGGAAGCGGAGGAATACGTTCTTGCAGCGTTCCTTTCAGCATCGATCAGTTCGATGTTTCGACCCAAGAAGGAAGAGAAGGAAGCAGAAGATTCTTTAGCTGGTACTACACCACTCGGACAATCGTTCTGTTGATCTCACAAACCCTAGTGGTTTATGTCCAAAACGACATAAGCTGGTCCATAGGTTTCGCCATTCCTTCCGTTCTCATGGTCGTTGCCATTGTTATGTTCCTCTCCGGTTCTCGCTTCTACGTTTACGTAAAGCCCGAGGGAAGCGTCTTCTCCGATGTTGCCCAAGTTTTCAAGTCGGCTTATCGGAGAAGAAAGGCGGCTCAAATTTCATCCGAGCTGGGTGATTTCTGTGACCCGTTTCTGCCTAAGATTCAGCCATCAGAAGAACTCACCGATCAATTCAGGTGAGCGTTAGTTTCATTCTTTTCATTACAATCATCGGTCCCATCTTGCGCATATAGATTATATATATATATATATATATATACCCGTGTATTTCCCTGTCCATGACTTGAACATTTTGGCTGCAGGTTCTTGAACAAAGCCGCGATAGGGAGGGACAATGGCGATGAAGGTGATGGAGAATGCAGAGAGAAGTGGGAGGTGTGTAGCGTGAAGCAGACAGAGGACGTGAAGAGCATAATAAGCATAATTCCGATATTTGCGACAAGCATTATAGGATTCTTGGCTATTAACCAACAGCAGACCTTTACAGTCTCACAGGCCCTGGAAATGGACCTCCACGTCCCAGGGACGAGCTACCAAGTCCCGGCCAGTTGCATCACCGTCATATCACTCATCACCATCGGCATATGGATCCCCTTCTACGACGCCTTTTTGGTTCATCCCCTCGAAAAACTCACCAAACAGGTAACAGATATTACACGTTTATATATATATATATATACACACACGTAGTTCATCTGCTATATATAGAGTTTCATGAAAGTATACTATGTAGTTCACCTACTATTATAGGGTGTCATGAAAGTATATATATGTGAATGCTTTTTCATTAACCTGAAAAACTCAAATTCATGAACAATCCTTGTTTACAAAAAAAAGGAAGGAGGCATGACCCTACTCCAGAAAGTCGGGATAGGGAACATCTTCTCGATCATCGCAATGCTGGTATCGGGTGTGATCGAGCACATGAGAAGAGATTCAGCCCTTGGTGGGTCGGAATTATCGGTATTTTGGCTTGCACCGCCACAGATACTGATGGGATTCGCTCAAGTGTTCACCTTCGTAGGTCTGATCGAGTTCTTCAACAAGCAAGTTCCGACAAGGATGAGGAGCATAGGGAACTCGCTTATGTGGTTAGCTTTGTCGGCTTCCGGCTACGTAAGCAGCATGGTGGTGAACGTCGTCCATGACGTGACCGGGCGAGACGGAGGAGAGAGTTGGCTAACGGACGATGTTAATACGAGCAAATTAGATTATTTTTACTTCTTCGTGGCGGGAGTGAGCACTCTCAACCTCATCTTCTACTTGTTTTCTGCTCATCGGTACCGTTATAGGAACATGTAAGCAAGATTAATTTAAATTGGTGATATAACCTACGATGTGACGGACTGATTATATGTAACAAAAATAAAGTCCAAATTACCAGATAATTACGCAAAAACATGAGAGATTAGGACAAAACAAGACAAAACCAAAACAAACAAAAACTAAGTCCCCCCTAAGAGGTGAGACTATTAAATAAACAGGGAGATCCTCCTAATAGGGAACATCACTGACACCACCGGCTGAACCATGGCGATTGCACAGATGACCACTGGCTGAACCATGGTGATTGTACGGATGACCACTGGCCCTTCTTCCCCTGTTGCTGTTGTAGTCGTAGTTCCTTTGGTAATTATTCCCACCGGAATGATAATTGTTCCCTCCATTTTGAAAGCTTCCTCTTCCATTAGAGTATCCCCTCCGTCCTCCCCTCTGGTTATGGTGATTATACCGTCTCTGCGTGTATTGTTGTTTCTCCTCCGGTACTACTGCTACCTCTGCATGAACTTGAGCTTCTTCCTTCACTTCCTCTTCCTACAAAGCATAAAAATCCCTAATATGGACACTTCTTATGTGATTGGTGGTGGATAAGATAAGATTAATGTGACTGTGGTCCAATCACACATATCATATGTTTACTCTTTTGTCTAACTGCATACCTTGGCTCAGCTGATTCATCACCCACGTCCTCATGTTCTCATAAATTTGATCGATCTTCTTCCTGAGAGCATAGAAGGTTAGCACCACCACTACAAAAACATACTCGTATGGAATCTCATCTAAGCAACCAAACAGGTAGGACGATGATTCTTTTTGAGGCCGGAAATGAAACAATGAAACACTCATGAAAAACTATTCAGAAATATATAGCCCATAAGTCCTACTGAACCAGTATACTCCAAGAGTACACAAGACTACAACTCGTAAAGCACAGAACTTCCCCCTCAAAGGTCATGTGTGACGGCATCTATTTGTAGATTCTCTCAAACTCAAGTTCCCTAACAGTCCTCTAAGCGATTGTCTACTCTACTACAAAAAATATAGAAAACAATTCTTTTGAACAAATTAACACAACAGCCAGATGTTGTATAGGTCGGTCGTTGACAACATCCGCTGGTACGCTCCTTCAACCTCAGGAAAGATTGTTAACTTTATCGTGTCACGATCGATTAAGCAACAGGATACTTGAACAAACCTAAGGTCGTCATGCTTTATATAAAATAAAGACATTATCCCACAGCATAAACATTGAGGGCCAACTCTCTACATCTAAAATATGGTAATATCAGGAAGTGGTTGCAGGTCACACCCATGGAAGAACTTAACACAGCCATTGATATGGGAACACTAGATTCAAAAGACATTTATCACTCATTTCCCTACCAAACTCTGATTGAGAAGCTAAACTGTAATTTACTGACTACTTGGTTCGAAGAGTACAGAAAAATTCATACCACGTGAACAGTGTCATCAACAGGAACGCCAGTCACCTGAAAGGAAACGTAGTTCCCAGCCGCAACCTCAACTGGGGGTTTCATCTCGGGCGTCGTTGTAAAGTAATCAGAAGCCATTATATTCCTCAATTTCTCTCTCAATCCAGCATCTGAAATTTTCCAGATATCTCAGCAAATCAATCAACAGACCTTCAAACTAACTGTCGACACGACGCATCGGCGTTCTGTTCGATTGGTTGGCCCGAGTTAGCGGGCCATAGATTGGCATGCTCAATGCAACGCTCCAATGCCTTCTTGTGAGATAAACTAGAATCCGCAGGCCGCGAAATCATCAGACTGCCCAGCCGCGAAATCAAATCCAAATCTCGCTCGCCAAGCAGATCCGTTGGGTCATCAGAAACGTTATCATAAGTCAAGCAGCACCCCTCTCGTGCGTCCTGGTCAACATGATCGAAGCAAATTCGTTCTGCGACTTGACATCAAAGAGCGAACCGAAGTAGAGGAGATGCAACAGATCCTCCACCGTGGCGCCATCACCAACTCCGATCTCCTGCGGAAAAGCAGCAGCATCGTCGCTTTGGCCTTCCTTGTGATCGAGAACACTGGTCTGATCGGACGAAACCTGGTGACGCTGAACGGCGAGGCTGATTACCTCCGACACGGCAACGGAGAGAGGAGTGTGAAGCTTCTCGAGCTCATCGATAAGGGCGACGACACCGGGCTTGGAACGGAGGACCTTCTCTTGCCCCGTGTTTAGGGTTTTTCCCAGAGTAATCGACTCTTCCATCTGAAGAATCCGGTTGAATTTCTTGCGTAGTGCACGGAGGCGCTTATTGATGAGGCTCAAGACAGGTTAACAAGAAGGAGACGAGAGGGGCTTTTTACCCAAATAACCGACTTGGGTTGCATCTATTTCACCATCTATTTCACCTGTACATCACCGAAAACATAACACATTTTTTTTTCCCTGAAAAGACGAAATTATCCTTAATGAATTACGATATTTATCCGTTCGAAAACAATTTCGTTATTACGACTTCGTAATTAAGTGTAAATATAGTTACAACTGATTCTAAAAAAGATGTCAAAAAAATCATTTGTCTTATTTTAGTTGTATATCAGTTATATGTTAGTCGTAATAAGGTCGTAAAAAATAAAACGAAAAGGGTATTTCGGACTTTTCCAACCGAAAAGTGGGTTAAAATTGAAAAAAAAAAAATTCAGTGGTGTACACTAAAATAGATGCGACCCAAGTGGATTATTTGGGTGATTTTCCCAGACGAGAGAGCGAGAGAGTGTTTGTAAAAATCTCTTCTTGCAATTTCATTTACAACCTCAACCATGTTAGGTCTGTCAGTGGCGCCCGAGGAAGCTGTCGCCGCCATGGATCGATGGTCTAGGGATTTGCAGGAAGACGATCGTCGCAAAACAGAACCACCGGGATCTGGCGGCGGCGGAAGGATTAAGGGGTTTTAGCGAAATCGGATACTAAATCTGACGAGTTCCGCTTTGAGATGTGATGAGAGCGAAAGAGTCCGACAATATAAAAAAGACCTGGAACGGTCCAATCGGGGATATATCCAATCTACCCTTTGACCGCTGCGAGCACTTCTGTACCTACCCTTGAAACTCCAAATTAAAAAAAAATGGGTAGAAGTTAGGAAAAGACCAATTATACCCTCAAATTTTAATCAAAAGACGAAAAAAACAAATTAAAATTTAAATTAAAAAAATAACGGTTCTCTCTCTTTCTTCAGCCCACGTTTTCTCTCTCTCTCCTCACTGTCGCCATTTTCCTCTCTCTCCTCACTGTCTACATCTCCTCCGTCTGGCTTTCGAAACCGCCGGTTTTGTGGCAAAAAACCGTCGATTTAAGCCGCGATTTTCCTCTCATAAGTCTCTGTCTTTACTCTCCTCAGATTCGAAGCACAAAGAAGGAAGAAAATGGCTTCTACGTCAGTGGTTCACTCATCTTCGTCAGCATCTTCGAACGAGACCGATTCTCGAATCCAAATCGCGGAGTTAAATGAGCACATGGTACATCACTTCTCTTTTTCTCATATTTGCACGATTTTGAAAGTTTATATGTTTCCTTATTGTTTTGCCGTGATGATTTGAAATGATAGAAATCTAGGGTTTCGTATTTGAAATTTTAGGGATAACATTATAATCTTTGGTTTGAAGTGGTTAAAATCGAAATGATTTGTTGATTTGGGTCACAGTGATATAGGTGACGGGATGTATGGTTCGATGTTTGGTTGATGAATGATATGTTGATTTGGGTCACAATGATATAGGTGATAGGGTTCAATGTAAATTAGGTCACAGGATCAGTTCGATTGGTGATAGGTGACTTGGTCATAGTTCACAGGACAATAGGTCACATGGTACCAGGGCAATAGGTCACATGAGAATTGGTCACGTAGTACCAAGACAATAGGTCACATGAGAATAGGTCACATGGTACTATGTCACATGGTCACAGGTTCACAAGACAATAGGTCACATGGTACCAGGACAATTGGTCACAGGTCAGAGGAGAATAGGTCACATGGTACTATTTCACATTGTCACAGGTCACATGATCTGATGTATTTTATTGTTGTGCAGTTGTCGTTTATGTACAAAATGGAAGACATTCAGTTCTCTCCTAAGATAAATACCAAGTGTTACCCGTCGGAGACAATAAAAAAACTGAAAGACTTGTTAAGCCCTGAAGAATGGAGGTATTTCAGTCATGAGTCGCAGTTTCAGCATTTGTTTCACATGCAATTTGATGGCACGCTGAAGATGGCTCCAGCAGCATTCCTGATAAACCATTGTGTCAATGCGGAGGATGAAAATGAATTATGGTTTGTTCTAAATGGTGTGCCCATTAGATACTCCATCGTTGAACACGCTCTCATATCCGGATTGAAATGCGGTGAGTATCCGGCTGGATGGGAATATATGAGGAAAAGCCAGTTTAGAGTGAAGACTTTTGGAAATCGAAAGGTATCTAAGGAGAGTGTAATAAGACATCTCGAGAAGACACCAACTCAAAGGGCTGCTGATAGGAAGAAACTGGCTGTTATCATGTTGCTCGGTGGAATACTGGATCATGGCACCACAGATGAGTTTATAAACCATGATTTGGTGGATATGGTGGATGATTTGGCTTTCTGTGAGAGATTTCCATGGGGACGCTACACATTTGATAGAATGATTGATCAAGTAAGAAAGAGTTTCGGAAGTGGAGGGCCAAAGAAGAAATGGCACTGTCGTGGGTTTATAATCCCTCTTATGGTAAGTGTTTTTCACTATGTGTATAAATGAAAAGTACCGTTATTACATTGATTTGTTTTGGAATTTAATATTTACACAATATGGTACAGTTGCTTCCTTTCGAATGCATATCAAATTTGGGTGCCAACGGGATGTACAAAGACGTCGAGGGAGCGGATCCGACGTGTCCCAGAATGTGCAAGAAGTCTGTCAAAGCAAATGTTAGATGGAGTTTCAAGACTGTTATAGACCAGATTGGCACTAAAGCAAAGGTACGCAGAAAATAGGACATGTTGTGTTGGTCACAGGTTTCATGGTCACATGGTACCATGTAACTCGATCACATGGTACCATAACCTATTTGGTCACACGGTACCATGTAACTCGGTCACATGGTACCATAACCTATTTGGTCACATGGTACTATTTAACTCGGTCACATGGTACCATAACCTATTTGGTCACATGGTACTATTTAACTCGGTCACATGGTACCATGTAACAATAAGTCTCATCTATTTTTCAGGGAATTAAGAGCATTCTTAAGAAGGAAGCGACAGAAGAAGCTCTTCTTTTTGATGTAGAGGATCTCGATGGAAGTGAAGATCCAACGGTTAAAGTATGGATGCAATATCTTGAGAGGAATCCGGAGAGCATATACTGGAAAAAAA